TGGACTTTATAGCAGCGCTAGAGCCCGCCATATATCGCGGGGGCATGGGGGAGGATACCAGAAACACCATCAAACAACAGGTGACGGGTTTACTTATGCAACATAGGCGTCATCAGGCCCTGTCCAGAGAGGAGCTGGTGGCCCTGGATCAGCTGAGAAGAGATAGATCTATTATAATATTGCCGGCTGACAAGGGTAGGGCCACGGTGGTAATGGACAGGACCCTGTATGTGGCCAAGGCATTACATCTCCTTGAGGATACTACCGCCTATAGGGTAATTAGTAAGGACCCCATGACAGTTATGGTTAACAGGGTCAATAAGTTTCTCAACAACCTTAAGCATACTGGAAGGGTAGATGACAATGCCCTCAAGAGAATGCGACCTAAAGACTCAGCCCTCCCTAGGTTCTATGGACTCCCTAAGATCCATAAGGAGGGCACCCCACTCCGCCCCATTGTCTCTTTTAGAGACACCCCCATGTCAGGGTTGGCAAAGTGCCTGAGTGAACGCATCTCATATCTGGTGGAGGATAATCCCACCACCGATAGGTCCGCAGAGGAGTTTTTGGGTAAGATCCGCACGCTCAGGATGGAAGAAGACGAGGTTATGGTGTCATTTGATGTCACCTCGCTCTTCACCTCCATACCACGGGATCTCGCTATGGAGGTCCTTGGGGAACAGCTGAGGGCACGTGAAGGCACCGGTGGCCGTGACTCACTGCGAGTAGAAGATCTGTTGAGACTTACTGAGTTCTGTTTAACCACATACTTCACCTTTCAAGGGGTTGTCTACGAGCAAATAAAGGGCACCCCTATGGGTTTCCCCATATCCAGCGTGATAGCTGAAGCGGTTCTCCAGCAGTTGGAGCGTATAGCTATGTCCCAGTACTGACCCAAATTTTGGGCTAGGTACGTGGACGACACGTTTGTGGTCGTCAAACAGAATGACAAGGCCAACTTTATGGATATCCTCAACTCGGTTTATACCGATATTGAGTTCACGATGGAGGATGAGGTCCGGGGCGTGATAGCATTTCTGGATGTCTTTGTGCAACGACTGCCAGATGGATCGGTCAACACCAGGGTCTATCGCAAACCCACGCACACGGACCGCATCCTCCACTATGATAGTAATCATCCGGTAGTCCATAAAATTGGGTGTGTCAAGACGCTGTTTGGGCATGTCCGTTCACACTGCAGCACAGTGGGGTCTAGAATGGAGGAGACCAGGTATTTGCACCGTGTCTTCCGGTTGAACGGATACCCTTTAAACTTTGTGAGACGGCATTGCAAGGTGACTGGATCCCGATGGAATTCCGAGGAGCAATCCCAGGAGCGGCCCAGGCGCGTCACCCTTCCGTACATCCATAATGTCTCCGAGGCCACAGCCAGACTTCTTGCCCCGTATAACATCAAGGTGGCCCATAGACCTGACCAGACCTTACGGACCAAACTTATGCACCCAAGGACCAACTCCCCATCACTGAAAGATCAGCGGTGGTATATCGGATTAGATGCATGGACTGCCCACACAATTATGTGGGGGAGACGTCCAAACGGTTGGGGACCCGCATACACGAACACAAGTTGGCGGTAAGAAGGGGGGAACAGCGCTCGCAGGTCTGGTCTCATATGGCTGAAAGTGGCCACCGCTTTGATTTCGACCAGGTTCAGGTCCTGGCAAAGGATAATACTAAAGGGGGCTGGCTGTTGAAGGAGGCATGGTTTACGGAGGAAGAATCCATCAACCGCCACATGGAGATGTGCCCGGCGCAGCGGACACTTAAAGCGTGGTGCATGAATCACCCCCTGGGGCGTCGGAGGAGGACAGGACACGATGGACAGCCCCGTCAGGAGCAGGAAGTGGGAGATGCCCCGCACGCTCAGATAGAAGGCCTTCCCCCCTGCCGACAGGCAGTACCGGTAACGGACCTGAAACCCCCAAGGGAAATCCCCTGGAATGCAGGACGGAGCACGCACGCCATGATGACGCGGTCCCGCCTGAACAAGCAACAGGATCCCCCGAAAAACAACGATGAACGCATGAGGCTTGGGACACGACAACGGCAACCCCCTCCCACCTCCCCCCGCCCCTCAGGAGCAGCACTGACTCACCCCACGGACCAACACCCGTCCCAATTAACCCCCTTGGCGGCGGGAGGGAGAGGAGTGACCTGTGTCCACTGGGGAAGGGAACAAGATCCCCAGCAGAGGGAATGTAAGGATGCTCGGGGAGGTGGGGAATGGAGGGCTAGGAAGGAGCAGGAGGTTCCTGGGGTGGGGAAGGGTGGGGGGCATATGGAGTGCCCGGAAAGTAGGAGGGGGATGGAGCCGGGACCGGAGTTAGACTGTCGGGATCACCGTGGCTATTTTAAGGTTGAACCAGACGGTTGCCGACAGAGGAGGGGGTGGAGCGCCGAAGCACGAGGGTTAGGGAGCTTGGATGCTACGCATACACGGCCCGTTGAGAGCGAGGATCAGAAGAAGGGAGAGAGAGAGAGGTGGATGGAGGGAGAGGGAAGGGGGAAGGGGGGAGAGAGAGGGAGGAGAGAGAGCAGGGGAAAGGGAGGGGGTGGGGGGGAGAGAGAGAGGGAGAGGGGGGAGGATGGAGGACCGGAGACAGCCCCTATGGGGGGAAAGGAAACTGCACGTCTGAGCAGTGAGAGAAGGGAGAAGAAAGGACGGGAGCAGAGGAAGCCGTCAAAACACTTAAAGGGACCCCTTACACTAGAGTAGGCACCTTGCCTCTAGCACGGCAGGAGCAGCTGGGTCCGGTGACGCGTAGCAGAAGCCGGATGCAGGCGATTGACACTTTATAAGGGTTTCTCCCAGATTGCTGTTTTAACGCCCTGATGATGTCAGACGGCTCTGACGAAAGCTCGGCTTATTAAATTTTTAAACTTTTAAATTTCATTCCTCTTGGTGCTCGGTTTTTATCTTTTTTTACTATGACTATACCCAAGAGTCGAATTTTTAGCATAATTAATTCTCATGTATATATGTATATGCAACTGGACCTAATTAGGTAAAATGTCTTCCAAAGCTTCTACCTCAAAGCTGAATAATACAGGCAAATGACATTAAAGTCACACAAAATTATTATTACCATTTATGTCAGAAAGACAACCCATATTGGAATTACATGCATGTTATTTTTTTATATATGTACTTTCCTGGTACTCTGAGTATGTCTCAATAAACTGCCAGCACCTAGTGGGATGCAGGTAACTATGATAGCTACTAGATTAAAGATCTTAGGTTGCATATATTTCATTTATCTTCTATTTTGTGCTGCTTCTGTCTACTAAAAAGTGTTATGTAAAAGCCTCAGCTGAGTAAAGCTGGGTAGAAGTCAATATCTATGATGCCCTGTCATATAGAAGATTATAATTTGGAATGTAAAAGGAATAAATGGTAAAGAACACAAATAAAATTAAATAAATAAAATAGGTCTCTTCTATATCAGTAAAACTAAGAAAAAGAGGAAGATAAAATAGGTGTTATTACTTTCTGTGCAGCAGAGTTCATGAATGCATGCAATGTTGTGAATTTTTATTTTGAATGAGAGGATGAAAATATATTGTCAAAAACTATGAATAGATATCATTTAGGTTATTTATTGGTGTGTGCAAAAGTAAAAATGATTGTATTGCATCAATGGAATTGATGAAATCCTCACAAATAATAAAGTGAGAAGGCAATTTTTTAAAATAGTGTATTGACTTGGTCCAAGCAATAATAGAAAATTATGGAGAAGAATAGTCATAGTATTGATATAAAATAGTTTTGACTATGCTTTAGCTTTTCTTTCTTATTTAATGTCTCTCCTTTATTTGGCTTACTGTTTATTTCTCTCTTTTTATGCTTTCTACTGAAAAAGGATAGGTATGCATGCATGTTATGTATACACTGAAATAATATCTGAAAGACAGTGCTACAACAAAAGCATTAGGCTGATCCTCAGACATGGAAGTGCTATCTCATCACTCAGAGATCTGAAATATTTATTTATTAAAAAATGTATATGGCCACCCTACTCAAACTTTGAAAAGCATGCAATAAGCAAACAATCAAGTAAGCAAACAACAAAGCAATTATGGCTAAAATCACAACAATAGCAATTAATAGGCAATCATCAACTCAAATTTGCTTTATATCTTCCTGATGGTAGCTTCAATCATCTGGGCCCCAATGCCCAAGGAAAGCCATAGGTTTTTATGATCTTTCCATAGACCAACAGGGTGAGAGCCAACTATATATTAAAGAGGTTATTCCAGGGACTGGGTGCTGTAACGGAAAAGGCACATTTCCTAGGTGCCTTCAGATGACATTGCTTCAAGGAAGGACTAAAATATGTCCATCCTACTAAAGCATGAGGACTGGCAGATGAAATAGGAGAAAAGTGGTCCTGAAAATAAGTTTCTCCTATTCCAGGCAGGGCTTTATAGATGATAATCAACACCTTGAAAACTGGATTTAGAAGTCTATTGGGAGTTAATTCAGTCTGCAAATAGTGATATTATACACTGTGCCCTTAGCTACCTATTATAGTTTCCAGATATTTTCAAGAGAAACCCCAGGCAGAATGTGTTGCAGTACAGAGATGGATTAAAGCATGAGTGACAGCAAGCTAAGCTTGATACAAGACACAACGGGCACACAAAACTGGGATTTTGCTGAATCCTATTCCTCCACAGCTTCCAGATACTTGAATAGAACATAGAGAGTATCATTTGGTCATCAAAGAGCTGAGATAAACAATTGAGCATCATCAGCATATTTATTACCTCTTAATGTCTTTCTAATTTGGACAAAACTCTGTGAGCTCTTCATTTCGATGTCTAAACTAATATTCAACCCTTGCAAAATTCAATGGGAAATTTGAGAAATAATGTGTTACTTCCTTGCAGACATGACAAGATAAAACATCTAAATATTTTCAAGTTTTCTTCCAAAGCAATCATATACATAATAAACACCCCAAAAACATCATGCTCACATTTGCTTGGACAATGACAAAATAACGCGACTTTTCTTCATAATTTAATCTCTCACGCAAAACTATTGCTCCAGACAATGTCAGAGGGATGTCAAAAGTCCTATTTGATGTCTGCAAAAGAAAAAAAAAAGGAGGAGGGGGGGAAGGATGGATAAAGAATTTTAGGAAATGATGAGTTAACAATTTAAGACCAGTGACCAGTGGCAATTAATGACAATGCCTCTAACTACAAAAAAATGTACATTATTGCACACATTCTACTTTTAACTTTGAATTATCTAGTTTTCATCGACATAAACTGGTGAATTTCTTTAAAAAAGAAAATCCAGAACTTTGATTACATCTAAAACATGTTTGGTGTTAAAACTGTACTTAGCAATTTTTTAAAAGGAAGGACAATGATAACGCTTAATTTCATTCCAGTGAAATAAAACTTCATTCTCAAAGATCACAAGACAAAATACAACCAAGCTTTTACTTTCAACTATAAGTGAGTAACAAAAACACTTCATATTAGATACAAACAGAAATAAATCAAAGAAAGAGGTCTACAGTGACCTAATGCAAATTGATAATAATAGCTAACTGTTGGAGAAATAAAGCCTGTTCACACAGCCTAACTTTAATATCATTATGATTATTGTATACTGTAGTGCTGATAGGTTAAAAGTGAGACATGTAAATTACATCTTTTTTCCATGTATTTAACGTATTTAATTTAATTTATTTGAATTTAATATATTGGTCACTCCATCCCTGCACAATGTAACTTGAAAAATTGCAAGGATCTTTAGTGATGTAGAAACATGTCACTAAACATTGGTGCTTAATGAAAGACTGTGAGTAGAAAGAAACATATATTAGATCACGAACAGTAGTCCCCTGTACAGTTAGGACCTCAAAAATATTTTTGGCCTGATGTAAGCGATCTTGATGGGTGTACACTTTTTACTAATTCAGCTGTAGATTCTCCCAATCTGATACAACATAAATAAAACCATGGCCCTTTCTTCATTGAAATTTTAATGTTTCCAAAATCTGAAGAAGTATCAATCCTTATCCCATTGATCTTTTTTCCCCCCAATAACTGTGACAATAGGTCTTTTCTGGAAGAAATCAAGATTTATAGAGCAAAGGCTATGAACTTTCTGGAGCTCACAGGTTACCAAATACAGCTGCTCCTTTTTAACGGCATCAGTTATCAACTGTTCGCAAATACGAAGGTAATAAACAGAAAATCAATTTTCAACCAATGCATGAACTGCATGAACATTTGGGCGTGCATACCCAGATTTTCACACCTGACAAAAATGCATGCTGGAGTGAGAGTAATGCTGGCATTGCTGTACAAGAGATTTCATCTGAATGAAACAGCAGCACCCAGTGATCTTCGTAGTCTCTCTCTCTCTCTCCCCCCCTCTCTCTCTCTCTCTGTCACATGGTTTGTTAGCAACCATTTCACATAATGACCATTTTGCTGGAACAAATTGTGGTCACTAAATAAAGAGAGAGGGCATCATTCAAACTTTGTAGTGGACCTGACTGGTCTACCCAGATATACATTTAACTCTTCATTAAAATTGCATTCTAGTTTGACTACAGTAGAATTCCTTCCTTCCTTCCTTCCTTCCTTCCTTCCTTCCTTCCTTCCTTCCTTCCTTCCTTCCTTCCTTCCTTCTTTCTTTCTTTCTTTCTTTCTTTCATCAATTAATTAATTTATATACATGACAAGTGAGCAGTTAACAGTTAGAATAGAAAAAAAAATTAAAAACAGGAATAGTATTAAAATAGGAGCCAAGGACATTCATAAATACTCAAGCTGATCATAAAATAGTCTCATCATTACTATCAAGGTCCCAGATTTATTTTTTATTTTTATTTTATTTGTGTCAAATTTGAAGACTGGCCATGGCAGAGAAGGTTGTCCTTCTGAATTCCAACAGGTAAAAATCTCTTTTGGCTGGGACCCAGGTACACAGCTCCTGCTAACAGGACAGGTAGAAAAATATTAACATATTTTGAGATCCCTCTGGCCACAAGGATCCTATGAGGTAGGTATCTATCTTCATGAATAACTGACATTTGATAACTCAAGTTCCTATGGTTTTCTACTCACCATCTAAACTAAAGTCATCTGGCTTTGAAAGAGCCCCATTAGAAATAAATCCATATATCATAGACAGAAAGATTGTTTCATATAGCTCAATCTTATTGGGAAAACCATTCTGAACAGTCTATTATTTTGCCAATATTCTTTACAAAGTGCAAATAAAACTTGTTACATTCACTGGATTCAATATGCTGACTTCATGATTATAAGCAAAGAGATTTGTTTATGTAGTCATCAGGAGCCAGAACTGACTCAAAAAACTACCACCACCATAAAATCTCTTTTAAGAATATTGCTTTGTTCCATTCACAGTAGTCAAACAAAACCTGAGTTAAAAATACGTTACTTAAACATTTCAATATACATTTAAATTAATAAAGGAATAAAATATGTATATTTAGTTTGCTTTTAAAAAAAAATTTCTTCCAACAATATTTACTGAAAATAAAATTTCACATACTGGATCGCTGGGATTGTATTGGATGACATACTCTATCTGGCCATTGGGTCCATCATCTATATCTGTGGCGCCTTTGTTCCCAGAGAATCCAGTGAAGATGGTGGTTCCAACTGGTGTTAACTGAAAGAACAGATATAAGGTTCACACTTAAAAATTCTTGACGGAAACCCAAATTTTGTATTCAATTGTTTACAAGTATGGTGGTAACTCTCCCAACTGACACAAGATTGCCAATAATCATTTGTAACTTTAATATACAGCATTGCCCACCCCAACCTTTGGGCACCAGAGACCGGTTCCCTGGAGAAAGGTTTTTCCACGGACTGGATGGGGTGTGGTTTTGTGTTCTGCCTACATCCTGCAGATGGGGCTTTGCTTGTTTGTACGGCTGAGTTTCTGGCATGTCATGGACTGCTGCCAGTCCACATACTGGGGGTTGGAGACCCCGGATATACAGTACAGTATTTTGAAGGAAAACAAAAAAGCAAAAGGGAGAAAAATGGGAATACACATTTTACTAAGATAGATAAGATAGATAGATAATTTAATTTGTATACCGCCCTTCTCCCATAGGACTCAGGGCGGTTCACAGCATATTAAAAACAAATAGTATACACAAAATACAAAAAATACAAAATACAAAAATACAGAAATACAAAAAATAAACCCCGATAAAAGCCGAATTAAAACCAAATATTACCAG